GCGTGTCTGCTCCTGGAGTTTAACAATAAATTGCTTTGCATGACCGCCGGTCAGTTTGTTTTGGTGGTACATGGTATGCGCTCTTGCAGTGAGTTCTCTGGTAAACTACAGAAGCTGTATGAAATATGCCTTTGCAGAGAAGATTTTTTTTCCAAGATTAATTCCAATTTAGAATACAAAAATCAGATTTTATGAAATAAGCATGGTTCGTGGGAAACTCTTCAACCCTATTCGATCGACCCTTTCAGATAAATCACACACAGCGTAGTTTGGATACGCACGGTTTTCCAACTACAACCTTTCTCGTCTACCACAACGTTATCGTCTCGGTGGATTTGAATAAATTTCCTTTATTTTCCCCCCTTCCTTCTTTTTCAACAGATCGGTGGGTATTTCAAGTCGAAGGTCTAGAAGGCCTAATAGGTCCGTATGCAGTTGTTGCGGCCTTCGCGTGTGAAAAAATTGGTGAAAACATGACATTCTGTCAAAAAAAAAGAAAAGAAAAGAAAAGAAATCTGAAAACGCGGTATAATACTTTTGTATAAAGAGCCGAATACCGAAGCACATAATAAGTATACTGTTTTCAAGAACTGTTGCGTGGAAGAGGAAGCTTGTCATTAAAATACCACACTGTTTCCCGGAAAAAAGCCGTGCACTTTTAAAGGTCCCTTTGCCTTCTTTTCTAGGAATTTTCATATATGTAAATGGTAATTTTTCTCTCTCATTTGTCTCTCTGTGTGCTTTTCGTATGTATTATTTTTGGTATTAAATATATTCAGGCCCAACGGCGTTGACTAGATACCACGTCAGTGTGAGCTCCTGATACGAATAATATTGGTGATTATTACCGGGGGTACTTAATATAATCGTCTATAAAACAGGGAGGCTCCGCCCGAAAGTGATACCTTTTTCAGGTCTCAGGAATATGAAAAGGTAGGGATGAGATTTCACTAGGTTAAGTAAATAAAAGGGTAGAGAAATATGTGATTTCCGTTTTAAAAAGACCTAAAAAGGCCGATACAGGAACTTACGGCTGTGAAAAAGTCGAGAAAATTTCCTGAAGTTTTGTTTTATTCATTCATATTTAAAACCAGTGCATTTACAGCGGTTAAAAGGGATTCAACGCGGTCAAAACTGGGTATGTGAAAGGGGGGAAAAGGGTACCACTTGCCAATGGAAGGTATGCGAAAAGGATGTATTCACTGTCCAAAAAACGATACATGCAAGGGTAAGGGGTTGGACCTCGGGGCAGAGCCTCCCCGTACAAAACTTTGTTGAGTATCCCCCCGGGGGATTATTGCGAAATGGACATGGACAGTTCGTTTTCAGGAGACGTTTACTCGTCTGAAGCCTCTTTCATCAGTACCTTACCTTTAATTCAAGCTCCTGTCAAACTTGGCTTCCTCATCTGCTCTGATAACTAGATGAGACGCCAAATACAATTTACCTCTGAAGGATAAAGGACTTCAGTGAGGTACAGGTCGCTGTGATCTACGATTGTGTTATATTAAGTATTGAGTTACGGTATATGAGCCGAGCTCTCACTGAGCTCTCAGAAACTGTACATGGTTACGTTATTCTATGCTGTTTGAGGGGGGTATGACGTATATTGACTTTTTCGGGAATTGATGCAAGGGGGTGGGAAAAAACGTACTTGCATAATTTCCATTGAGGATTTACGCTATCCTCTCATCGGCGGTCGGACAATAAGCGATATAATGACTTTAGCTTCAGTTTTCACTATCAAATAGTGAGCACTATATAAGTGGACTTAAAATTATACTGAATAGGTTCTTAAACATGTTAAAAGTCCATAGAAACAGAAGCGAACTTCCAAGAAAGGCTCTCATATATTTATGTGTAGAATGATATATGTAAAACGTCTCTATTCGACCTTTGTTTGAATGGACCGTAAAATGCATTTCGTCTTCATTAGAAATGTATGACACAACGGTCTCTCTTATACGCTGGGCAATTTCGCGTATTTATGTTCTGTTCTTTTGAAAAGTTCTAGTTGATCGAACATACGTGCAAACTAAGCAAAAAATCCACCGCCTCTAGAAACTCTTTGATTATTATACAGAATTCTCCGTTTTTACTTTCATGCCATCAGTAAAAAGTGCAAGTGATAGATTATCGTGAGAACTATAGTAAAACAGATCTGTTGACATCTCACAGCACATCATCTTAGTCAAATTCACACGATCCCCTGCTGCACACCCACTTACAACCTTCACCACTTACAATACTTCCTCTTTCGGTGTTTTCTTTAAACAGACCATGGTAACACAGCGATTTACTGAACGATTTGCCTAATCCATTTGGTTAAACTGAGAAACATCCGTATTATAGTCAAGAATCACACTCTTTACAGTAGTTTTTAAAACTTTTTATTGCATCGAGGGTCGGGCTACAATTAGAAATTCGAAGTAAAAGTCCTCGTGCAACCATGACACATTTTGCTGCTGAATTTTCCATTTTTCTCTTCGTTTTTTCCCGCGACTGCGCAGTCGACCAGAAGTCCGAGATTTGGTCCCAGCCAGAGCTCTCTGACGAAAAGGATCGAAGCCCTGGGAACGAGAATGAGGGGGCAATCATAAATTACAACACTTAGGTCCGGTTCTGACGCCGAACTTTTCATGAGCCGAACCTAATTCGAATTAATTCGACCGGCAGACCGACCGGCAGATCATTTAGACCGGCTGAATTGATTTAGACGCTGATCTTAATTGCAGCTGAACTAAGTTCAAACGGCGAAAGATGCTCATTTCGGTCATACTGCTGACAAAATACGTTATAATAATTTATGCATTAGGTTCGGTACATAAAAAGTTCAGCGTCTGAATCAAAGCCGTTCCAAAGTCGCTTCAAAGGCGAAATTTCCAGCCTGGCGAAAAGAACGGCTGAGCCGTTCCAAACTGAAACAGGCGTTCCGAACTTCTCATGTACTTAATTCAATGTATTAGGTTCAGCTTATGAAAAGTTCGGCGTCTGAACTGGGCCTAATATAGCCGTTGTGACGCCATGTAAAAACACTAATAGTGTAGGAATCCAATAGAGCATTTGGAACTTAATAAAGTTACGAGACAGTTGTAACGATGTAGCAATAATATTTCTCATTTTATACTACTACGTGAGAAATTTCTGCAATTTGATTGGCTTAGAGCAGTGATATTTCAGCTTAATTTGAAATACCCACATGTGAAAATTACAAACCCTTTGCGGGTAGTAGTATAAACAAATAATAGCATAATTTGTACGTGATATTTGGCGTAAATACCACTCGTGATATTTCAAAATTGTCTCAAATTTCACTCGCCTAACGGCTCGTGAAATTACGTATAACAATTTCGAAATATCACTCGTGGTATTTATTCCAAATATCACTAAAAATCATGCTATTACCTATACAAATGGCGGAGTTTTCCATGCGACATTAATTGTCACTTAATAAATGGTGATAATAGGACAATCACATGACTTTTGGTGGGCATATAGTTTATTTGTGGGCCGAATAGCATCATTTGCGCGCTAGCGGAGCAAGGGTGCGAATGCTGCTACGAGGATTTGACACTAATTCGGATACATCTGCCAGACAAAATCTCACGATTGTCTTGACGCCAGAGTTTGAAAAAGTTTCTGTTTTGAAAATTATTTACGTCCAAACCAATTGCATTTCAATTTGAACCGTATTAGTGTGGACGGTAGGCCTAATAGTAAGAAATTGCGCTTGATCCATCTCTGCTTTGCGTTTAATCAAACGCAGTGCGGTCAGGGCTAGAAACAATCGGTGTAAATGCGATACAGCTTCTGAGTTATAGGCTAAGCATGACTGGTACAGTAAAAACCGGCAACTAAGAACAGTTAGCCTTAACAGCTGACATAAATGGCAATTAGCACAAATTTAGGCTTTGTTCTTAAAAAGGTTCAGTTACTTCCTAAAGAAAAAAAGTTAGGTAATAGTGAATTACACCCCTTGCCCTAAAAGCAAGTACGACAGGCCAATAGCTGACCAAACCACAAACCACAAATTAAAGGGACATGGGCTACATCTGATAGATACTCGCAACAAAAATAGAAACAGCACCTTTAAATGAACGCGGATCCACAATCAATGATCATTACCAGCTTTTACGCATAATCTGCATACCATTTCATTGCAGTTGGAGTGATTTGTCAAGAAGCACCTGTTTGTCTCCAGAAAGGATCCTGAATGTTGACTTATCCTATTTGTCCAATTGTACAGAACTTTTTTTCATCGATTTTAGAAAATACGATCCTGTTTCAAATTTTAGGCTAAACATATTTTTAGTCGCGGGTTTTTACTGTTTCTGGATTTCGACAGCCTAATGTAATGATAAGTTATTCAGCGTGTGAAATAAACTGTTTTAAAGTTTTCATTGCGTGCTTAAACTTTCTATGTTACAAAACGCAAAACCATTCATCTGATTCATCGGTTCAATATCAACAAACACAACTTTAAACAAGTAAATATATATACGAACGTGGAGCAGAATAGATTTAGTAAACAAAATCGCCCATCAATAGAAAATTCGCATTGCTAATTACAAATCCTTGTAAGCACACTGCTTTATTAAAATAAAGCAAACATTTGAGGTGCTCCACTACAATAAACATTTGATCACATAATTTTAATATTGGCAGTGGCGGTGCAAACAGAGAACAAAGGTAAGTCGCACACGCAATTAGTAATAGCGGTTTCGCTATTTCAAATTTCAATGATTGGTTAATTACTGTTCAACGTAGACGTAAACAAAATAATGCTCTTTATTCCGTGAAAGTGGGTAATAGACGAAGGTTGGTTTAAGCACAATTTGTTTCGCTTATAATTGGCACTCTCACAACTTTAATTATCGTTTGAATCACGTACAGCTAAGGAAGCTAGTGCTTTCCGGCGTACGATCATCAAGACCAACAGTGGCTTAAAAGAGGCGCTAAAAGAGACTGGAACGTTTAATGTAACTATTAGCTCAACTGGTATGTCAAAAGTCCAACCCGTCAAGAAGAATGTCGAGAAACAGAATTCAAACTTGGCTCGCTTTCCCGAAGACTTGATTATTCGGGAGACGGTACCCGGGCAAGATACGACAGAGGAGCTTGAAATGATTGCTCAAAGCGAAGAAGAAGTTGACGTAAATTTTGTCAATGAATTTGGCCACACTTCCTTAGGCACAGCAGCGTTTGTTGGAAGCATGAAGTGCTGCAAGATTCTCATACAACTCGGGGCAGAGGTAGGGAAACGAGACGAGGATGGGTGGACGGCTATGCATTATGCGATGGCTAAGGGATATTTGGATGTAGTGAAGTATTTGATTATGTGTGGAGGTGATATTTACATGCAGAATAACGACGGCGACTCGCCATTAGAATTTGTTGAAGATGATGAAGTAAGAAGGGTTTTGCTGACCTTACACGAGAAGCACTGGGAGAGAAAAACGCAAGCTTAACCAAGAAAAATCAAGAGATAATGACTGAAATACTTGCATGAATACTCACCTGTGTAGTAAATCTCCGCGACTAAGGCCGACGTTGTGTTCAATGCAGTTACCAATACAGTACATAAAATTCCAAATTTTGTCTAAATTTTTGACTCTTAATACTCATAATAATGAAGAATCCCTCTTGTTTAACGGAGGTAGGTGGAATCTTGTGCATTTATTATCCTCCTAATCAGGAAATATCAAAACTGCTTTAAAACATTTTATACCGCTTCAGAATAATCTAATGCAAAATACTTTCGACAAAAATGAACTTAATGCACATGTAAATGTTTCAGTTCGCTTGCTATATCAGAGAAGAAGACTGAAAATGAAAAAAAGAAACATAGCAGAAATTAAGAGGGAAAACAAACACGAAATCAAATCGAAACAAACTGAACCAAAATATGCTGAAGCGAGCATTTACCATTTTTTTT